TTTAATATAACATTACATGATCAACTTGAATATAAAATTCAGTTCCACTTAAAAAACCCAAAGAATATTTTGTGAATAGTTAAAAATAACAAATTGTAGTGCTAAATGCAAAAACTAAATTGTAATATTAATTTAACTAAAATATTTCATAAATATATTTTTATAATTGTTAAAAGTTTTTAAATAAGTTGCTTAAAATAACTTACAATTACAATAGGTAAAAATAACTCTATATAAATGATTATATTGTTACTTTTAAAATAAAGAAAAAATCGTTTGATGTATTAAATAATTATAATGATAGAAATTAAAACGTTAAGCAGATAAATTCTTAAAAATTAATTAACAATAACAACTATAAATAACATTAAACCATATATTATATTTAATTTTATTCACGAGTAACCCGTGGGTAGAGGTCATTCAAAAAAATTGAGATTATGCAGTTTTAATAAATTTATATATTATCATATAATTGAAAATAATCAATATGTTATATCAACTAAGTATATGAATTTTATATTGAATTTAACAACATTATTGTTATATTTAAAAAAAAAAAACTTATATTTGTAAAGATTTCAGCTATATAGATGCTTCCGCGCAACGCGCGGACATTCGCCTAGTTTTAGTATAAATAGATGTTGTGACCTATAATGTACCATTAAACTGAGAATGTACCACTAAACAAAGAGGGATAGCGAAATACTTAGAGTGAGTATTGTTAATAGAGGGTTGTTTTCTTTTCTTGTAATATTGAGCTAGTAAGCTCCTCATTTTGTTTTAGTTATGAATAAAAGTGTGTTTCAAACCCAACAAATGAGAGTTTCTTTTAGAGATGGCAAACAAACCCGTACCCGATGGATACCCGATACCCTATCCCGAGTTGACCTGGTAAATCCTCGAGTTGACCGAGGTAGGGCCGATGATGGTTATTACTCGAATGCAAAAAGCGGGGATGGGGATGAAGATGGTTCTACGTGTCGGGTACCCACACCCACACCCGTATCCGAAACCGGCCCTGACGGGTATTCGATATATATATATATATATATATATATATATATATATATATATATGCTTACGTTATTGTATTCTAATTTATTATTGTGTGGATGTAGGGGTGAATGTAGACCAATGGTTTTAGTTATTTCAACTAATGATTTACCTATCTTTAAATTAGGAGACACATGTTTAAACTAGGAAACACATATTTAATTAATGAAAATTTTGAATTTTAAGGCATATTGATTCTTTTAATTTTGAATTCTGATTTTTTTAATTAATTAATTTTTAATTCTAACATATTTTTTTAATTTTACTCGATTTTATTCTTTAAGAATGCAATTCCGTTAGAACGATATTCTATGAAAATGCCAGGATACATTCTGATAGAGTACATATTTTGATTGAAGTAACTTCTTGTAGAAAAACAACGTTCTTGAACCTTCAGTTGAAATATAACATGATCCTTATATATTCAAACATTGTAATGCAAATATAGATTCATACATATTGTTACAGAATAATAGTCTGAATAACATCCTGAAATATACAATTATTGAACAAATAGATTTGAAATATAACATGATCCTTATATATTCAAACATTGTAATGCAAATATAGATTCATACATATTGTTACAAAATAATAATCTAAATAACATCCTTAAATATACAATTATTAAACGAATACATTTGATTATTAAAATTAATTAATAGATAACATTAAAAATTTACCTTATTTAATTAATTCTTAAACTATCTTCCCTAAATTAAAAGGGATTAATTAAATATTTATTTAATTACTAAAATTAATTAATAGATAACATTAAAATTTACCTTATTTAGCTTTTGAAATGATTGGCTCACATTGACTCCTACATCCACACAATAATTAGTTAGAATACTTGAACCTAGCTCTTTCTCTCTCTCTCTCTCTCTCTATATATATATATATATATATATATATATATATATATATATATATATATATATATATATATATATATGTAGTATTATTTATGTTTTTATTTTTAATAATGTATAGGCAAAAGTTCACTAGACGAATTATTGCCATCTCTAGTTTCTTTACATAACAAACACACAGATTCTTTTATTAACTCAACACATAATTACATACGTCGTAACCCAGCAGTATCCGGTGTTGCCCTCCCTCCATGAGGTTGAGGGTTAAAGTTCCGTGAGGGACATAGGTGGAGATTTAGGAGTAGTGTAAGAGTAGAATATATTTGTCATTCCAATATATATATATATATATATATATATATATATATATATATATATATATATATATATATATATATATATGCTTAGGTTATTTTGTTTTTACTAACTATTATGTGCTAGAATACACAGAACTGGACCACCGGATGAATAGAATCAACAGTCATGATCTGAGGATCTATGCTATTACAATATTACAATAGGGTAGCATATATCATATAATCACACAAATTTCAGCAAAAGGGTATTTTGGTCAATTAACCTATTTTAGAAAAGGAATTTTTCGGATTTTAAGGGAACATTCATTCCCTTATTTTTAAAAAATCTAAATTTTTTAAAATCTAACAAAAACACGAATCCATTACGAAAGAATATTATTGTTAAGAAACACTTTATACATTCTAGCATAATACATTTTGCAAGAATACACTCTAGTTCTCCATGTTTTTTCTCATTTTCCACATCATTGACAGCCTCTTTAAAACCTAAATCCATAAAAAAAAAACATAATCAACTTTCAAATATTAAAAAATTCTGAGCATTCTAAAATAATAAAAACTATAAATTCTAATAGAATGTAGTAGACATTAAACAATTGTAATTTATTCTAATAACATGCATTACTAGTTATTCTGCTAGAATATACTATCACTATTCTAATAACATGCATTACTCGTAATTCTGCTAGAATGCATTATTAGTTAAACAAATATACTTGTTGTTAACAAAACATTTTTAAAGACATTTTGACACAATGCTTTTATATAAATAAATTTTGACAGAATACACACAAGTTTGAACTTATATTATAGTAGAATTTATAACATCTTTTTTTTTATAAAATAAAAACACCAAAATGAATTTATATAAATAAATTCTGACAGAATACATCAACTATACTTGTTGTTAACAAACATTCTCAAAAACATTCTTACAAAATACAAGCAAGTATACTTGTTGTTGACAAACATTCTTAAAGACATTCTAACAGAATACAAGCATTACTTATTTAATGGAAACGATATAATGGAGATTGATAGCATATTCTACCAGAATGTTTTTTAGTTTTCCTATCTAACAATGTTTTTTTACTTTTCCTATCTTGACAAATAAGAAGATTAAAATCGAATTCTGACAGAATAATAAGCATTCTGAGAGTTTTGACAGAATACATACAACATGGCCAGATTCTCTTTTAGGCATTTCCACAAACACCTTTTGTGCAACATATATAAATAATAGAGAATAAAAAGCTTAAAGTATAAAAAAAACAAATATCCTCATTGTTCTTCTGATGCGAATTTAAGAGAGTGTACAACTCAACAAAACTTAACATCCATTAAAATAGGTTGCTTAATCAATTAGGGTTTGAGAAAAAGGACTTAACGTCAATAATTTTTAAGATGTATTTCTTATGAATAAACGTGATTATAACAATGGATTTTACATAAAGATTTTCATTATAACTAAAATTGATGAGATAATAAGAGGATTCAACTATTATTCGAATTATATCACTAATCTATGATTTTTTTTGCCCAGAATTATAAAATTTACGCTACTGATTACCTGGATTTGCAACTTGTCATTAATTTCTTCAATTACTTCTTCCTCAGCAGCGCTAATGGAGACGGAAGTGCTGGTGAAGGCATTTAAACTCACCCTGTCTCGTTTTTTTTCTTTTGTCGGCGACTGGTCCTTTAGGGTTGTTCGACGGTGGAGGCATCAACATACTCATTTTTGAGGATGAATGATAACGTAGTGAAACGATGTAGGGATTTAAATGCTATTTAAGAGAAATTGATCCATTATTTTAGGGATTATAATTTTGGAATATAATTAATTGTACATACATAATGACTAAACTATCCTTTATTATTCAGTTAATGATTTTTTTTTCTTAAATTCTGATTGGTATGCAAACAATAGTTGTTGGAAACATTTGAACCTATCTCTCTTTATTTCTCTCTCTCTTTCTCTCTCTCTCTCTCTCTCTATATATATATATATATATATATATATATATATATATATATATATATATATATATATATATATATATATATATATATATATATATAGGCACTAGTAACAAACAATACAACCCTTCTAACCATTGCATCTTTTCCTAAATAACTAACTTCCAGATTTAACTGCCATATTAGACAGTTAACATAACTAAATTAACCACCCATTTAACTGCCTAACATTAATTCACACTAACTATTGTTTATAGAACAAGTCTAGATTATAATTCTAACAGGTTGATCGCCGTTACTGATTCGTTCAACCTAAATGCAGATTAACATTCTTATCATTGTTAGAACACAAGTAAAGGTGTATATGGATTTCTATAGGCTTTGTTTTGATTTGAACATATAGAAGACAAAAGATCAGGTTTTGTATTGATTGATTGATCCAAGTTTTGGACTAGATTTGGGGTTAAGATTTTGACATTTTGGTTATCATGGTCGCTTCTTCTCGAGGTGGTTCACACACAAACCCATGGTTCTACAATGTCACTTCATCTTGGCAGTAAACAATGACTGAGTGATAATGAACAAATATTTATGAATCTTGAGGTCTACAAATCACAATATCAGTTACATGGTTATTGTTGGAGTAATAATGTAATAATAATTAAATGAATGTTATGGCAGGTTAGTTCTGATATCAAAGAAAATTTGCAATATTTAACAAAGACCGACCTTAGCTCAGTTGGTAGAGCGGAGGACTGTAGTAGGCAATAAGCCAATGGCCATCCTTAGGTCGCTGGTTCGAATCCGGCAGGTCGGAATTTTAAAATTTCCGTTTTTTGCTTTTATGAACCACACCACCTGCCACCACGAAGTCAAAATATACAGGGGTACAAGCTGCGATTGCATGAGGTACAAGTCTATTGGATTCTTTTCCCATCATCGGTTTTGAGAGATAGCTAGAGAGAGAGGGTGAGGGGACCGGATATTTTTCCTACAAATGGATTGTCCACATAATTAAATATTTAACCTTTTTATTGACAATAAATAAGTAATTTGACATTATTTGAATTTTAGAAAATTCCACATCATTGGTTTTTCATGACAGATGACGTGGGTGATGAAATGGGAACAACTTCTACACCACCACTCCATTTAACCTAAAAAATCATTAATATATATGATCATCAATGTGAACACAACTCCACTGATATTGAAAAAAATTATCCATAAGATATGTATTTAATTATTCAGCTTTTGATAATTGGAAATTTCGAAGAAACTCGCATCTCTCTTTATATAGTTCGTGGGGGTGTTCAAACAATGTATATTCTATTTCTATCTCAACATTTAATATCTTATAAGCAAATCTACTAGATCCGGAGGTTTTTGTAAATTAAAAATTTCATTTCATTGAGGTGCTCAAATCACATTCCCTACATTCTATATCGACAAATTAAAGCATCGATGGCATCATCATCATCATCAGCTTCTCCTTCCGCTCCTGCTCTTTCTTCAAAGTGGTGGAAGTACGATGTTTTTCTAAGCTTCAGAGGAGAAGATACTCGAAATACTTTTGTGGGCCATCTCTATTCTGCTCTTGAACAAGAAGGTATCTACACCTACAAAGACGAGGAAACACTTCCCCGAGGAGAATCGATCCGCCCATCCCTAATGAAGGCTATCGAAGAATCACAGATATCTGTCATCGTATTTTCAAAAAACTATTGTGCTTCTTCGTGGTGTCTGGATGAACTTGCACATATTATGAAATGCAGGGATACGAGAAGCCAGATTGTTATGCCTATATTTTATGATGTGGATCCCTCTGAAGTACGAAAACAAAAACGGAAGTATGGAGAAGCATTTGCTAAACATGATTTGGAGAACAAAACCAAGGTTGAATCTTGGAGAAAAGCACTTGTGGATGCAAGTAATATTTCTGGATGGGAACCCAAGCACATTGCCAATGGGTATTTTTCTTCTTTGTTTTTGCACCTTTTTATGCGTAAGATATGTGTGCTCTACAACACATCTATACCTGAACTTTTTAAGCATTGTATACAAATGTTATAATTATTCTTGATGAAGTTGATGACCTTGATAAGGAGAGAGGTTTTGACTTCATCACTTATCGGAGTCAAATATAAACATGTTGAAGATTCGGACATGCTTTCAGAATGTGGTCACTTATGATATCGGGCAAGTTAAAAGATATCCCAAGTCCTAATACTGTGGTTAAGCTGAAATTAAGTTAAGATTAAAGTTATTGAGTTTTAGTTCTAATTCAGTACTTTAAAACTGACATCAAGCTACAGTGACAAACCCATCTTAAAACTATTCCATCTTTCCCAATGAAATGACTACAACTTACTTGTGACATTGACTTAACAATTACTACTTGGATGTGAAATAAGGGTAGTTAGGACTTAGGACTCCTTTTGCTTATCCCATGGAACATAAAAAAAAATCACTTCTTTTGTCAATGTATGCATATGTTAGTTATTCTTGTATATTCAATGTGTAGGGATGAATCAAAAGGCATCAAACAAATAGTTGTCGAAATTTCACACAAGTTGCACCTAGTAACTTCAAGTGCAGATGAAAACCTGATAGGAATGGAGGCTCGCTTGCAAGGTTTGAGATCAGAGTTACAAGTTGGGTCAGGTGGTGTACGGATGATTGGAATATGGGGGGTTGGGGGTGGTGGTAAGACTACTCTGGCATCTTCCATATATGATGAAATCTGTAGGCAGTTTGATGGTTGCTGCTTTGTTCAAAATATTCGAGAGGAATCAAAAAGGTATGGTTTGGGAAAGTTGGAAGGAGATATTCTTTCAAAAATGGGAGTAGACAAAGTTGGAGGAGGAAGATGCATGATAAAGGAAAGGTTGTGCCATAAAAAGGTATTGATTGTTCTTGATGATGTTGATCACCTTGACCAACTGAAAGCATTAGCCGGATCACATGATTGGTTTGGTGAAGGAAGCCGAATAATAATTACAACCCGGGATAAACATTTATTAACGGCACACAAAGTAAATGCAATACACAATATTAGATTGTTAAATAGTGATGAGGCTATTAAGCTCTTTTTCAAGCATGCACCCCAGGATTACAGACTTGTGGAAGATTATGAGCAACTTTCAAAAGAGGTAGTCTCTTATGCTAGTGGGCTTCCATTAGCACTTACAATTCTCGGTTCTTTTCTGTGTGACAAAGACATTAATGAGTGGAAGAGTGCATTAGCTAGACTGAAAGAGATTCCAGATAATGATATTCTGGAAAAGCTAAAAGTTAGTTTTGATGGCCTTAAACCAGTTGAGAAAGAGCTGTTCCTAGATATTGCATGTTTTTTTAGGTTGGAGGAGAAAGACAAGGCAATGGAGATCCTTGATGCTTGTGGCTTTCATCCTGTTATAGGAGTAAAGGTGTTGATACAAAAGGCTCTCATAACCATTTCGTATGGAGTGTTTGATATGCATGATTTGGTGCAAGAAATGGCACACTACATTGTTAGAGGGGAACACCCTAACAATCCTGAAAAACATAGTAGGATTTGGAAGGCGGAAGATGTTCTGAGAATATGTGCTATGGATGCAACAACGGTAATGGTTAAGCTAGCTTTTCATGATGTACATGTATGTATAAACAAACACTTTTAACTCAACCTTGACGCCATTTTGTTCCTCTATCACAGGAACTTGACATGATTCAAGCAATAACATTTAATTACAACAAGGATTATCTATTACAAGATCTTCCTCCAATTGTTGCAAACACGAACCACCTTAGGTGGATAGATTGGCACGGTGATTTTGCAAGTCCATTGCTTACTAACTTTCCACAAAGGACACTTTGTCATCTACATTTGCGGAACAGTTCTCAGAAACAACTTTGGGAGGGTTATAAGGTAATTCTTATTGTCTATCTAATTAACAAATGAAAACAAAGCGGATGATGAATGTTCAGCCTGATTAATTATTGGTGTCATTAAGCAACTTCAGTTGTGTTTTTTTATAAGTAGCTATTGTATTGAGAGCACGAATCTTTAGTTTGTAAATCTCCTTCGTGTTAATAATGATAAACTTGGTAAAAATATAAACTTGTTTGGTATTATATCGACCAGAACATGAACCTTTAGTTTATTTTAAATGATATCCATTTACAGATGGAAAGTATTAGTCTATTGCAAGTGATGTCTAGCCTAGCTGGATTGATGCACTGGGTTTGATACCCACGTGGGTTTGAGGTCAGGAGTTCAAATCTTTGAACCTGTTAAATTTGCCTCTTGCAATTATGCCCCATGTGTGGGAAGTTTTCCCTGGAAATCCCCTTGGGGGCTGAGTTTGCCCTGTTAAGGAGCTCGAACTCGGGGTCACCATTGAAATATTATGGTGAGGCTTCCGCTAAATCATTTGCCGTTTCCAAAAAAAAGTATTAGTCTATTGTATAGCTTTTATCCCATATAGAAATAGTGATTAAGTGAGACACCTTTTAGAAATTTCTAATTATATATGTATGCACGTGTGTGTGCCAAAGTTTACTTGTTTGCACTTGTATGCAACAGTTGCTGCCAAATTTGAAGACAATTGAACTTTGGGATTTAGATAACCTAATCATGACACCAGATTTTGAGGGACTTCCAAATCTTGAAAGATTCATTCTTTATGGATCTAGGTGTTTAGAAGAGATTCATCCATCAATTGGATGCTTGGAGAGGCTTGTTTTGTTACATATATCAGGTTGTAGGAGTCTTAAGAGGTTTCCACCTATTTCCAGACTAAAGAAACTCGAGACCCTTTCATTCATTGGATGCCCTAAACTTTTTAAACTCTCAACAATCCAACAACAGAACATGGAGAAGTTACCACATTTTCTTTTGGATAATAGTGGGGACGAAGTTGCATCCTATGTAGAATCTATTCCAAACTTTTTTGTTAATTGTTGGAGGTGTGGTTGCAGCAATCTTGGTGGTGTAGAATGTTGTTTAGAGGACCCTTCTTTATCTCACAACAACATGAAGCCTTGTTTACGTGACAATAATATGAACCACATAGGGTTTCGTTCTTTTCCCAAGGACTTAAGAAAGTTAGATCTCAGCTACTGTGATATGGGAGATGAACACATCAGCTCTTCTGTTTGGGAGTTACACAACCTGAAGACACTCAATCTACTAGGAAATGCTTTTTCACGATTAAATTTTCATCTCTTGCGGTTTCCTCAGCTTAAATGTCTCAATGTGTCACAATGCAAAGGCCTTGTGGAATTGTCTGAGCTGCCATCAAGTATAGCTGTTGTTGTAGCAGATGGTTGTAGCTCACTTGAGACCTTTGGAGATATTTCAAACTGTAAATGGTTGTGGAAAGTCTTGGTTCTGGAGTCGAACAAACTCAGTCCACTTTATGGTGACATATTACTAGACTCCATGCTCCAGGTTTGGCTTTTAAATTTCAATCTTTATTATATAATCCCAAACATAAGAATCATAACTGAATGTGTTTTCCATGGTAGGGAAATGCTAGTGAAGATTACTTTATCAGTATCATTCTTCAACATCAGATTCCAAACAGGTTTGTAGGTTGGCTGTTTAGGGGAAATAAATTTACACTCCATCTTCCAAAAGATTGGTACGATGAATTTTGCGGGTTCCTAATATGCTTTGTTGACACATTGACCTATCCGGATATTAATATCGTCATCAAGCAGGAGGTAGATGATGATATTCTATTTGAGATTTGGAAGGAGTCTACGGAAATAGTGGAGCCTGTATATGGTGATCAAACAAAAACATACGTAGGATATGTGCCCTTTGGTTCATTGAGGCACACTACATTGTCGAATTTATCATACAATATGATTTCAGTTTCCATGGAGGCAGGGCATGTTAATGAGACTTGTGTTGGAGTTGAGCTTGTTCCTAGGAAAAGTAAAGGTGATCGGCCACAAACAACAAAAGTTGCAACAAATTCCTCAGAATTTTGGGACGAAGAAGATTATGGTAGTAAGACATTTACGATCCAGCAAGATGATCCAAAGTCTTCTATACATATTATATGGCGACCTTTGAACGGCATTATGACAACGTCGTATTGATTTGCTTACTGGTTTGTGATTTTCTTTGTATTTGTTTATTCGACTACTTTATGAATTCTTACCTTGTTTATCCTGTGCATCTAATTTTATGGTTTTTTGGGACTATGTATTGCTACTTTAGTTTTGGTTTTGAAACTTATTTTTTGTTAGTAGTTATTTTTACAATCGTTTTCAAAATAATCATACTCATAGGTGTCTAGTGGTTGAGTTACATAATTCTCTACGGAAGATTCAATGTTCAAATTTCGTCACACCCAAAATAGGTAGTGATCAACGTGAGCCTCTCAGATGATGTGGTTTACCATTTTTTATGGATATTTTAGTGTATATTGGAATGTTTTTTTTTTTCCTTTATAATTTTAATATAACTTTATCATTTATAGCAACTTCTTTCTACATTTCAATTAACTAATGCGCTAGTTCATGATCAACAAAATTTAATTCACTATGACTTTTAACTTATTCTTTATGATAAATGCAATCCAAATTAAATTGTGATTTTGGTTTTCTCACCATAATGAGACCCTGGATCTACGGATCAGTTGCTTTAGAGTTTATGCAATATATATTACTTTTAGGTCTTCACTATATGAAATCTATTTAAATCTTTATGTTAATGTTATTGTCAGTTAATTCTTACAATTTAAAGTAACCTACTAGGGAAAGTTTACTCGCACACGATTAGCCTAACGACATTACCGATATAACATTTATTAAAATGTTTGTAATTGTTTCTAAGGTCAAAAATTATGCGTTGAGGTTGTAGTTACTTGAATGGTGTAGTTTTTAATTTTGATGATGTTAATCGTGCATATATTTCATGGGACCCTTTATTTTATGCATATTTTGTTGTTTTTTTTAGATGTGTTTAAAGTCTTAATTACTTCAATAGAAAGTAGAGTCTCCATACCAATTGTTAGATTTATGGGGTAAGAAATAGCACTTTGGAATTATGAGAATCGCGCAATCACTTACGAATTGAAGTATTTGAGTGGTATTCTCAAATTTTCAATTGGATAAGATGAATATGAGAGAACAAGAATAGAGAATGAGAAGTTATGATTTTTGATTGCACCATAAAGATATGATCAAAAAACGAATTATCTATATCTTTGTCTCAAAATTGTCACAAACATTTTCATGTTCTAAAACTGTCCAAACTACCACAAGACAGTTTATAACAATAAAAAACTATCACAAAATCGGGTTTTCTTTAAGGATATAGACAAAGTAAAAAACCGGATCAATTATTTAAACAATTTTTGATGCATTTTTAACATAGCAATATAACTTAAGTAAAAAAATTTCCAAGCTAATCTGTTAGCTCGACCCCAACTAGGGGTTGTGTCCCCTGGACTCCGCCAAAGGCGACCGCTCCTTCGACCACGCTCCCACGGGTGTTGCCTCTAGATCCCCATTTGTTCAGGACTTCACCCCTAAATGACAGTCTGTTATGAATCCGGAACAAATTTAAACAAATATCCGCTCTACATATCCCTTACTTGTTTAGTATTTGTCAATATTATATTTGGTCAACAAATTAATTAACTACACTTAAATATACATTGGTGATACAATCACCAACACCAATTTTTTTCCCTTGTTTTAACTAGAGCTAACAATAAAAAAAAATGTATTTTTTTGATTGTGTGATTTACATTATTTTTATTCTAAATCAAACATCGTACTTGGGTTGTGGTGATTTGGTAAGGCATGTGGAAGATATGGTGGATAACCTGTTGACCCATGTTCAAATCCTGGCACCACTCAGCCCTTGTGGCCATGGAGGTTCGCCTGCAGTGATTCCAGGGCATGAGGCAAAGCTGTATGTTTGCAGCGGGGGATTAGTCGGTACGCGAAAGCTGGTCCGGAAACCCTCGTTGGGGAAGTTCCCTTTCAAAAAAAAAAATTTGTTCATGTTGATTTTTTTATAGGACCATGTTGAATTGAAACATGTTGATGCCACCAAAGTCATATTTTATATATATATATATATATATATATATATATATATATATATATATATATATATATATATATAACCTTTCATTATTTTTTTCCGAGTTTCACTCAATTATATTATTTTATTTTATAGTACATTTTTTGAAACGATTTTATTATAGTACATTAATTAATCATGGTTAAATTTATATTTATATGGTCCAAATATATAAGACTCTTCCCCATCTCTCCCCTCAACCAGTCGACTGCAACCGGCAACCTGCAACCGCCAACTCCCCTGACTCGCTTTTTTACCTCATCTCCAGTCCCCACTAACCTTTCTTATTCCACCTTAGAAATCAATACGTTTTTTTTCTGCTACAGACCAATAGGGCTTGTCGCAGATAATTCGATGAAGAGTGTGGCGATGGGTGATTCCGTGGTGGAAGCATTAAAAAGACCACTCCATTCTTTTTATAAGCAATAATATGCAAAAAAATCAAACAACAAAACTAGAAATTGGCATACCTATTCATCGTCCCCTGCAACCGCGTCAGTTGAAAATCCCTAATCAACAATCCAACACGAAGGTTCATTGCTTGTCTGATTCAGTTCAACTTAATGCAGATTAACGTTCTTTATCATTGTTCGAACACAAGTAAAGGTATCAATATACATAGGCTTTGTTTTGATTTGAACATATAGAAAGAGAAAAGATCAGGTTTTATATTGATTAATTGATTGATTCAAGTTTTTGGACTAGATTTGGGGTTATGATTTTTGTTTCTGTTATCATTGTCAATTCTCCTCGACAATGTCACTTCATCATCCCTCTTCTTCATCTTGGCAATTGGCAATGACTGAGTGATAATGAAAAAATATTTATGAATCTTGAGGTCTACAAATCACAATATTAGATGGTTATTGTTGGAATAAATGAGGGTTTTGGCAGATTGGTTATGAGTGAAAGAAAATGTGCGTGGATTAACAAAACCGACCTTAGCTCAGTTGGTAGAGCGGAGGACTGTAGTAGGCAATAAGCCAATGGCCATCCTTAGGTCGCTGGTTCGAATCCGGCAGGTCGGAGTTTTAATTTTTTTTTAATCGCCGTTTCAAAATATAAAAAATTGCCTAAATTAACTTGGATTCTTTTCCCATCATCGGTTTTGACTTTTGAGAGATAGGTGAGCCGGAAATTATTTTTTTGGTAAAAATGGATTGTACACATAGTTAAATATTTAACCTTTAGATTGACAATACATAATAAATTTAACATTATTTGAATTTTAGAAAATTCCACATCGTTGGTTTTTTATAAATGGCAGATGACGTGGATGATGAAATGGTAACAACGTGTACCCCATCATTGCTTATCTCAATGTGAAATCAACTCCACTGATATTTAAAAAAATTAAGTGAGAATTGAAAAGATAATTATTTTGCTTTTGTTAATTGAAAATTTCTAAGAAACTCACATCTCTCTCTATGTATAGTACGCGGAGCTACTCAAATATTAGAAAACTTTCAAGATTTTTGTAGATTGAAAATCCTCTTGGAAAATTACATCTCTCTCTCTCTCTCTCTCTCTCTCTCTCTCTCTCTCTCTCTCTCTCTCTCTCTCTCTCTCTCTCTCTCTCTGTTACTCTGTATATATTTCCTTTCGTTGAGGTGCTCAAATCACATCCCCCTACATTCTATCTTGACAAATTAACACATAGATGACATCATCATCATCATCATCCTCAGCTTCTCCTTCCTCCACTGGATTTTCTTCTCAGTCATGTAAATACCATGCTTTTCTTAGCTTTAGAGGAGAAGATACTCGCAATACATTTGTGGGCCATCTCTATTCGGCTCTTGAACAAGAAGGTATCTACACTTACAAAGACGACGAAACACTTCCCCGAGGCGAATCGATCCACCCATCCCTTAAGAAAGCTATTGAAGAATCACAGATAGCCATCATCGTATTTTCAAAAAACTATTGTGATTCGTCGTGGTGTCTGGATGAACTTGCACATATTATGAAATGCAGGGATACGAGAGGCCAAATCGTTATGCCTATATTTTATGACGTGGATCCCACTGAAGTACGAAAACAAAAACGGAAATACGGAGAAGCATTTGGCAGACATGAGTTGGAGAACAAGAGGAAAGTTGAATCTTGGAGAAAAGCACTTGTGGATGCAAGTAACATTTCTGGATGGGAACCCAAGCACATTGCCAACGGGTAATTTCTTCTGTGTTTTAATTAAATTTGTACCTTTTACGCTTAAGATATGCGTGCTCTACCATTTATACTTATACATTTTAAGTTTTTTATACAAATGTTTTAAGACAAAATTGCAAAAATGGTCCCTGTGGTATGCATATTTTTTGGGTTTTAGTCCAAACCCCGAGTTTTTTGGATTCCTGGTCCTTTTGGAGTGGTTTGTATGTGGAGTTGGTCCCCGGGCTTAACTTCCGTTAAAAATGATATGTTAACCCCCTCATGTGCCTCACACGTGCGGATATATCCGTCATTTCATATGTAAGGGACCATTTTTGCATAAACATTTTTTTGGCTTAATTCTTTTAAAAGATCCCCACCGTTCCTATCTTCTTCCCCAACGTTCCTTTCTACATCATTCTTGAGAAATTTCACGAAGTACAAATATAACAATAGTAAAGAAGACTTGCATTAGTAAGACCAAAGACCAAAGGGTTGGTCTTCATCTTCATCTTCACCATGACTAAGGAACTCAAGATATGAAGAATTCACAACTTCTTGTTCCGGGTAATCACCACATTCGATCTTTGGTAACATGTAACCACTAACGGGGGTTACAAACATCTTCTCCAACATATCTTCTTCCACTAAAGACTCATCACTCTGATCTTGTTCAAACAAATACGACGAGTCACCCCTCTCTAATAGATCAACATATTGTGGATTGCTCGACTCAGTCACATCGCTTCTTACACCAACATCTTCATCATTCAAGCACTCTGCCGCCTGTTCTTGTTGCAGTGGCTCAGATGGGCTTTTGGTGCTTGATGAATTGGAGGTTCCTTTCTCCATTTATTGCAGAAGCAACTTGTCACTTAGATCATGAACCTATATAAGAAACCAAACAAAAGTTAAGATTTTTAAGTTACGTTTAAGAAATTTTAAAGAGAGAGATTTCTATAAAATATCATTACCTCGGATTTTAGTTTTTCTTTTTATTGAAGGAGATTTCCGTAGTTTGCTTTGAGTTCGTTTTAGCTTTCTTAAAGAACGTCGTAGTCTTTCTCAAGTCGTTTGGTCTTCCACCGTGCATGGCGGTTCTGGAACCAGATTGCAATCTGTCGAGGTTGCAAGCCAAGCTCTTTTTGCTAACTGAATCTTTCTATTGGGCTCAAGTTTGTTTTCTGTCTCGAAACTTTTCTCCAGGAACTCTGAAAGTAGTCTCTAGGAACTGAAACTTTTCTCAAGTCGTTTAAACGTCTCTTCTTTTCGGGTGCTGAAAGTAGTCTTCGTATTCATCATCACCATTGTCTTCCTGATCGAATGTTTGAAAGAGGTTTCTTCCGGATCCATTTCCTCCATCCTGATCAAAGCTAACCATCGACAATTGTTTGTGAGTTAGTTTAACTAAAGATCATAAAATTCAACCAAATAGATTGTGGGTATGTGACAAGTTATTCAATTCAAGTTGAAAAATGTGTTTTTTGAATCAAAAGTATCCACTTGAAATGAAAAGGCTTCAATCTTCGAAAGGGAACATTAAGCTTCTTGTTTCGTCATTACAAAGTCAAACGAGTCAAGAGGACATCAAGGATTGCTTTTGGGAACATTAAGAAGACAATATTTGGAAGATCTAGGAAGTCATGATGAAAGAATCAAACACCATTTTGGTTGTTCTTTTCATCACCCAAATGAATCTACAACCAGACAACACAGACTGTAACGTCAAAAGTATCAGAATCCAAACATATAAAGTATAATCTCTAATTGAGTGGCAATTAATAGAATAATAACCCCATGAGAAATCGTAAAATATTTTCAAACAACATGATCCAAATAAGTAAATATGTGTAATTACAAATATCAAACAAGCGATAATTAAAGAGCTATCTAACAGATTACCTGCAAAAGAATGAGTGGATCTAGATACGAAGTGGGAATCAAGAGGCATAGAAGAAGAAAAAGGGACCCTCTTGTTTGTAACCATAACAGAATTGAAACATGAGCCACCACCACCACCGGAATCGCCGCCGTAAAGAAAGCTTCAAAGAAAACATAGAGCCATTGTTGTTGTAATAGAGCTCAAGAAGAAGAAGGGTAGAAAAAAGAGATGTTGGGGAACGTTAGGGAAGAAGATAGCAACAGTACTGGGGATCTTTAAAAGGAATTAAGCCAAAAAAGGTTTATGCAAAAATGGTCCCTTACATATGAAATGATGGATATACCCCCACGTGTGAGGTACATGAGGGGGTTAACAGATCCTTTTTAACGGAAGTTAAGTCTGGGGACCAATTCCACATACAAACCACTCCAAAAGGACCATGAATCCAAAAAACTTGGGGTTTGGACTAAAACCCCAAAAATATGCATACCACAGGGACCATTTTTGCAATTTTGTCATGTTTTAATTATTCTTTGATGATGAAGTTGATGACCTTTATAACCTCACTGAGGCTTTGAATACATCACTTGATCAGAGCCGATCAAATATAAACCTGAACAAGATTATTAGAGATGTTAGAGGACAATTTAAAAGATATCTCAGGTCATATATATAATTCTGGATAAGCTGAAATTAAGTTATAATGTAATTTCTCATGTTGTAGTTCTTTTGTATCTCAGTTAAAGCAATAACGAATCTATGTTGCATTAAACTATTCCATCTTTCCCAAGAAACTTGTTACAAACTAGCTGTGATCTTTTGAGTGTGAATGTGTGATCATATGTTAATTATGCTTGTATACCCAATATTTAGGCATGAAGCAAGAGGCATCAAACAAATTGTATACGAAATTTCACAGAAGTTGCAGCCAATAACTTCACGTTTAAATGATCAAAACCAGGTCGGAATGGCAGCTCGCTTGCAAGGTTTGGAATTGGAGTTAGAAATTGGGTCAGGCGGTGTTCGAATGGTTGGAATATGGGGTGTTGGGGGTGGTGGTAAGACTACTCTTGCATCTTCGGTTTATGATGAAATTTGTAGCAAGTTTGATGGTTGTTGCTTTGTTGAAAATATTCGAGAGGAATCAGGCAGATATGGTTTGGGAAAACTGAAAGACAAAATTCTTTCAGAAATGGAAGTAAACAGAGCTGGAGGTCGACGAAGATCCTTGATAAATGATATGTTTCGCCATAGAAAGGTCTTGATTGTTCTAGATGATGTCGACCACCCTGATCAACTAAAAGCGTTAGCTGGATCACATGATTGGTTTGGAGAAGGAAGCCGAATAATAATCACAACTAGAGATGAACATTTATTAACTGCTCACAAAGTAGATGTGATACACAATATTATCTTGTTAAACAATGATGAGGCTATGAAGCTCTTTCGCAAGCATGCTCCCCGGGATAATAGAGTTATGGAAGATTATGAGCAGCTTTCAAAAGAGGTGGTCTCTTATGCTGGTGGGCTCCCATTAGCACTTACAGTTCTCGGTTCTTTTCTGTGTGACAAAGACATTAATGAGTGGAAGAGTGCATTAGTGAGACTGAAAGAGATCCCGGATACCGATATTGTGGAAAAGCTAAAAATCAGCTTTGATGGGCTTAAGCCAGTTGAGAAAGATTTGTTCTTGGATATTGCATGTTTTTTTAGGTGGGAATACAAAGACGAGGCAATGAAGATCCTTGATGCTTGTGGTTTTCATCCGGTCGTAGGAGTGAAGGTGTTGATACAAAAGGCTCTTATAACCATTTCACGAAATGGAAAGTTTGATATGCATGATCTGGTTCAAGAAATGGGACACTACATTGTTAGAGGGGAGCACCCTAACAATCCTGAAAAACATAGTAGAGTTTGGAAGAAGGAAGATGTTCTAAATATATGTGCTATGGATGGAATGGTGGTAATGGTTTAGCTAGCTTTGCATGATATATATATATATATATATATATATATATATATATATATATATATATATATATATATATATATATATATATGTATGATGATAATTAAAGAAAAAGTTTTAACTCAATCCTAACACCATTTTTCTTTCCTATCACAGAAGCTTGACAATATTGGAGCAATAAATTTTCGGCATGTTGCACTTGACAAATCACAATCTTTTCTTCAGGCTGTTGCAAACATGAATAAGCTTCGGTGGATTGATTTGTACGTTGATCAGATCAATGAGATTACACGTCCATTGCCAGAGCATTTTCTAATGAGTCATGACCTAGGGGAAAATTTTCCACCAAGAGAATTGTGTTGTCTAAGATTGGCTAATCTCATGCATAAACAACTTTGGGAGGGTTATAAGGTAATTCTTATTGTTTCTCTGATTAATGAATGAAAGCAAATTGAATGACTAAGTTAATAAGTTAGATTTAATTAAGTTGCCATATGAATATATGAGCACATGTGACATGTCACTGATTATTGGTGTCATTATATAAATAGGTGGTTATTTTTTTATATAAATAGCTAACAGATTGAAAGCATTAACCTTTATTTTATAAATGTTCTTTGTGTTAACCTGATTTTGTATTCATTTTTAAAGATAGCTATATACATGAAAAATCTTATTTTTTATCTTTAGAAACAAATACCAAACACCAAGAAGTCAAGAACACACAAAATCAGAACCCTGAATTGAATCAATACAAATCTTAAACACCAAGAGCACACACAAACAAAATCCTAACTCACCTGACACGCCCTAACTCGCCTGACAAACACAATGAGCCTTGTGTGTGTATGTGTAATGTGCATGCCTGTGTGCTTTTTTATCAAATTGATAGACTTAATTTGTCTTATTTGCACTTGAATGAAACAGCTTCTGCCAAATTTGAAAATCATGGAACTTTATAGGTTGCTTAACCTGAGAATGACACCTGATTTTGCTGGACTTCCAAATCTTGAAAGATTCAACCTTACTTTATGTTGGTATTTAGAAGAGATTCATCCATCAATTGGATGCTCAGAAAGGCTCGTTGTCCTATCTATATCAAGTTGTCCTGGTCTTAAGATGTGTCCATCTATTACTGGACTAAAGAAACTCCAGATCCTTAAATTCTCGAATTGCTCCAAACTTTTCAAGCTCTCAGAGATCCAACAGAACTCGGACAATTTAGTATTTCATTTGGATAATAGCGGTGAAGCACGAGTTAAGAAACCAGGAGAGAACCTCATTGATGTGGAAGAATGTTGTTTAGAGCAACCTTGTTTACCTTACAACAATATCAACCACATAGGGCTATGGGTTTTTAGCATAGGGTTAAGAAGGTTGGATCTTAGCTGCTGCACTTTGGGAGATAAAAACATCTCTGATGCTGTTTGGGATTTACCCAACCTGGAAGAACTCGATCTAAGCCAAAACAAATTTTCACAATTAAATTTTGATCTCTTGCGACTTCCTCAGCTCAAATGGCTCAACGTGTCAAACTGCTATGAACTTGTGGAATTGTCGGAGCTGCCATCAAGTATAGCTGTTGTTATAGCGGATGATTGTAAGTCACTCAAAACCCTTGGAGACATTTCAAACTGTAAATGGTTGTGGAAAGTGTCACTTAAGGGGAAGAACAAAGTAGGTCCACTTGTTGGTGACATTACTACACTCCATGCTCTAGGTTTGGCTCCACCTTTTGAATTTCAGTCTATATATTGACCCAAACATATACAAGAATAATAGAATGTGTTCTCCATGACAGGGAAATGCTATTGAAGATCACTTTGTCAGTTTTACTCTTCCATATCAGATTCCAAAGAGGTTTGTAGGTAGGTTGTTTAGGGGGGAAACATTTACAATGCATCTTCCACAGGATTGTTACAATGACTTTTGTAGGTTCCTAATATGCTCTCTTCATGGTATCTACCATTCGTGTATTGAAATAACCATCAAGCAGGAGCCTAAGTATGATGGAAAAACGGTGGAAAAGCCATATGAGATTCGGCAGGAATCTAATAAAGTATCAGAGCCTTCATATGATGGAAATAGAATATGTTTCCTTTGGTTCATTGAGGAACATCTCATTGGTGAATTCATCATACATTAATATGATTTCATTTTCCATAAAGGACATCGGTTGGAGTTCGTCTGCAGCTCGGATGTATATTGGAGCTGAGCTCGTACCTAGGAAAAGCAAAGGTGATCATGTTCGAAAAACATATTGCTCAGAATTTTGGGATCAGGAAGCTTATCATAGAAAGTCATTTAGAATCCAACATGATTCAAAGTCTTCTATCAAGATTATATGGCATCCTTAAGAAAACAACTGGCTGTGACAAACACATTCCTACAAGTCTCTCGACTATTCACTACTTGGTAATTCCTGTTCTCGTTCTTTTCTCTTGCATTATAATTGTTAAATGATTAGGTATGTTATGACTTTCTTGTTGTGAACCAAAATCTTCGAAAATGACATTTAGAGGTTTGTTTATAGGTCGTTCCTTGTATCCCATTATTGGACAATTATGGAATTTCCCCACTTATGGCCACACTTCTCCTTCTACTTTGGTGGTTTTCTTTGTTTTGAGGACTGTTTTGTTCACCTTATGAGGTTTAATCCCTGTTATTACTTGTCTTTACCATCAATTACGAAAATCAGCAATTAGCAGAATCCTTGGAAGCTCTTGGAATATATGGATATTCCTACATAATTTGTTGTAATTGGTTGAAAAAATATTTGAAACCTTTAGTTTTGCATTGTTTATTCACAAGAAATTGCATGACTCAGGGTTTTTTTTAAGTCGATGGTGTTTCAATAGCCTCAAAGGTTAAAGGTTAAAACTCATGGAACCCCACATGTGTTAGTTTTAAATAGAATTTAAAATTTAATTATGTAATAAAATAATATTTCATTAATTTAGAAAACTTATGAATTGTAATATTGTATTTTTTAATAACTTTATGATTTGTAAGTATTTAATTACACAGTAAATGGTAAGTATTTAATTACAAATGGAGATTTTTAAAACCCTTACTTTTTGTGTATGATTTTCATTGAACATACGGAAATGATGAGACAACCACAAGGGAGTGCATGGGAAGAAAAAACATTTGTTGGCTAATACGCCACTTTTGCCATTATAACTTAGCATCCCAATAAAAGTCATGACTTTATATAATGCAACATATGTTTGAGTAATGATAAAAAAAACATCGAAATTGATTTGATACAAACAGAACATGTATGTAATGTAATTAATATAAAGAAAATACAATACGTAATTATAAATAAATAAATTAATAGGATGGATGAAGTGTGATTTGCAAAAAAATGATTAAAAAATGCTACAAAAAAGTTGGTTATAAATTGCGAACGTGTTATATTGATATTAACCTGACAAATTAAATATATTTGCAAAATTTATAAATAAATTGAAGTGTCGATAAAAACAGAGTTCTTTTCAATAACATCATCTCCGGTGCAAGTGAGTGACACCAAGTAGCAACCTGCATTTCCCACCAACATGTGTTGGATATTTTAGGTCGTATCCAACCCCGACTCTTATTCATTGTTTTTATGCCCAAACTGTCATCCCTCTGCATGAGTTGACATATTGAAAAGAAAACCATATTGTTTAAAAATAAAAGGAAAACAAAAGATTGAAAATTGAAACGATGAATTGAAGTTAATGTTTTGAACCTTAAAAGTGGCAAATTTATGAAGCTTATCGAATATGCAAGTTTCAATGCGACATCTAAACTCCAAATTTTAACAACCCATCTAAAAGAAGAGAATTTATTAAACATTCAGAGTAAAAATAAGAAAATACTCTGCTTATTTGTATTGGAGATAGATTTGAGTTTTTGACCATTTCAGGTCAAATACTTCAGAATTATAGTACAGATAAATCACATCTAAATAAAGGACGCAAGGTATAATAATATTGGAAAAAGAAAAAAAGAAAAATACTAACTAACATCAATCTTTTCTCTCTTTGCAACAGACTCCCAATCTTTTGCAACAATATCAATTCGCCAGTCAAGACTAACAATTAGACCCTTAGTACCTTGATGATGACCATCTACCCAAAAACATGCAAAGTAGTTGCTTGATTCGTTAGTTGTAAATGCAAATTGACCATGAATCATGTTCTCTTTGTGGTGGAGATTGTTTCCATATGGTGCGTTTACCTGTTATTTATTCAAATCAAACACTTAATTTCTTCATACAGATACAAATACTATCATCATCAAAACTACAATCTACAAGTATGTAGTGTTTGGTATGATGGAATGAATCAGGCAAGGAATGGAATGCAATCAAGAAAAACTGTTTGTTTTGTCCCAAAATAGCTACATTGCAATTGCATTAAGACATGTCCTTTTTAGTTATGAAAACTAATAATGGTTCTTACTTCTAAATGATTCAAATCAGGCTCCTGTTTCTTTCATCCTCCAAAATTAGAAAAAAGCTCTTGTTTTGTATTTCAACACCCTTCATACGATTGCTAAAGTATTGACATTAGCCATCAGTACAAAAGCTACTGCCACACAATTAACTGGATCGACTTTTCTCGATGCAATGTTTATGTGTTCACATTGAACCTAAAACAAGTATGCCACTAAGGGATATTCAAGTGATTATATGATATTTAATAATCAAAATCAGGTAATCAGCTACGATGAAAAAACTATTTCAATTAATTCGCACATAAAATTTCAACTCAACCAGATCAAGATCTAGGAGTAACTGCTTAACCTAGATGAGTAAAGTTGCGCAAAGAAGATCGATGTTTACCCGAACAGAAATTGTTGCGTCCAAGGGCATATAGGCGTCCTCTTGACCACTGATGAGGGAGTAATCACAATTTAACTAAAGCCCTAGTATACCTGGGTGGAGGTTACACCATTAAGGTCGTTGGAAGCAGGAGAAAAAGAGAGGAAGAAAATGATTGATATTGAAGATTAGGGAAAAACGTAATATGCTGAATTCATTTGGAAGAGTTTCAATTTTGATTTTGATTTTATGGAGAAGAATAAAAATTAGAGAAGGATTAGAGGTAAAATGGAGTTTATCGTAATCTTAACATAAGGATAAGGGCTAAGAACAAAGGGAAGTGTTGGTATTTTACTTTACAGATTCGAGCGGGGAAAAATTGAGTGGGAGGGCTTACAGAATACCACGTGATAAAGCTCTTATTTTTTAGGATAGGAGATTATATTGCTTAATGTTTATTTAAAATTTGATAAAACTGTAAGAATGGTCATTGTGGTTAGCATTTCTAGAAAAAATGTCCAAGCCACTAAAGTTTTGGATCAGTGGTCCTTTTTTTGAGCTAGTTTCATTGTGTACATGGTTCCTCCAAAAAATGAAATGACTATTATCTTTGATGTATTTATTTTTCATTTTTTTAAGTTTAATACTTATTTATCTATTTTAATAATTAAAAAAATAAGAGAGGGCCCATTCCTCTCCCTCCCCCCCCCCTCCCTCTCTCTCTCTCACACACACACACACACACACATATACATCATCATCTCCATCTTCCCTGAAAATTAAAAAAATACATATACATACTTAGATTACCAATGGCTGCAACTTAAACACACACATACACACAACATACTGAAAAATGATTTTTTTTTCTCTCTCTCTACATATACATACACACTGGTCTGTATATATACTTACAACCCATCATCCAACATACCCAAATCATTTTATATTTTGTGATATTGTTTATTTGAATTCTGCAAAAGGAGAAAGAAAACAAAATGGAGCTTCATTTGTTCCTTGCTCTTTCTTCATCATCTTCATTTGCATCTTGTTCTTTAGAGTTTGATCTGATCAACTGCAACAATAACTACGTCTCTGAATCTAAAATCCCAATTCATCATTTGAAGAGGAAACAGGATGATGATGAGAACAAATTACTGAAATCGTCCTAGTGGTTTGGGTAAATTTGCACGTTTGGTCCCTAACTTTTATTTTGCACTTGGACAATCCTTACCTTCTGTTTTTACTACATGCCTGGTCTGTTTTCCGTCTATCCCAAATGTTAGGACCCCCACGTGCTTGGCACACTAAGGGTGTTTTCATCCTTTTATACATGACGTCTAAATGGATATGCCAATCATTTCTTCCTCCCAATCATTCACTTTATATGATCAAAAACACAAATGTTGACATCTCTCTCTCTCTCTCTCTCACATCTAAACCGTGTAGAAACCCCAACTATCATTCAAGGATAAATAAGTCGTGTGAAAATTGTTGGGTTATGAGCATTCTAACACTCCTAAGTGTACATGCAACCCTAAATACCTTGGATCTATGTTTTCTCTATTATACATGCAAATATGAACATCCAAGATATTATCCTAATCTAGCATACAAAACTATCAATATAACAAGATAGAATACATACCTCTTTGATGTAGAATGTCTTCATGAAGCTTGAGTGCCTAGTGCCCCAAGTGTGACACCTCAAATGGTTCACACAACACCATAAGCACTTGGAATAACTTAGAGAGAAATTAGAACACTTCATGAAATCGTCTAGCCCTCATACATACACATAGTCACGATTTCTTGAGCCATGGGTTTCTTTTATATGGTGGCTATTAGGGTTACACCATGTAACTCATGACTTTACCCATTCCTTATGCTCCATGGATTTTAACCTCCATGGAGTATCCATGGGTCACCCCATGGACTTAGTCCAACATAAGGAATCTTGGATCACAAGCCCACATATATAAGAATGAATGATTTACACAATCAACCCATATATTTAATTAGTCTCCTTTTGATCACTTAATTAATTCCAAATTAATTCTTGATCAATACTAATTAAATAACCTTATTAATATATTAGAACTTATAATATATTAACAAACCTTAAGTGTTATTTCTCTCATTTTAGTCTATCCAAGTGCATGATGCCATGCAACCCAAATGGACCATGCCGGGTCGGGTCAAGTCTTACCAATTATAGTTATGGACTTAGACATTAATCCAACAGTCTCCCACTTGGATAAGTCTAAAACTATTATTGCGTATGACTTCAGGAACCAACTAGCAATCGTAGCTCTCAAAAGCTTTGTCGAACTCTGACCTTGTAGATGAACTCTGATCTTTGTCAATGACTTGTCCATTAGATAAGGGATCATATATTCCTCCATTCTAGATATCATATGGACTGAGACATGGATTATAATCATTCTCTCTGTCCATTAGTTGTTTCCCGATTTCCGATTTATGACGACTGACTAATTGAACAAATCAAATCAGTCCTGGCCCGGCCGAGCACTTCCATTTGTCATCATCAAATCATCGAGGGGCCCACAGATATCGCTTTTATCCCGAAGGTAAAAGGAATGGATAAACTTCGACTCATATGGCTTGTTCTACTACTTGTTGAATCATACACAAAGACACGTTTTATAACATCGAGTTACCAATGCGTTTCGTGTAATCAATGTACTATCAACTCATAGTAACAACTCATATCTCTAGGTTTGAAGAATATAAGATATTATCGTCTCATGATCACTCGTGATAAAATCCATGAAGTGATTCCAATGAGCGCGGGTTGAATCCAATACTCAGAACTTATGAGCACTCATGAGTGTTGTAGCCCTTTGTCCAACACTTAGACCTCTACAAGCCAACCCATGACAGTCTTAATTCATATCTACTTCCAACATATGACCGACTGTGGATGGTTTGAATAACTTAGTCATTCCGGAAGAATAACCTAGTTTATTCGGGAAGTCAAAACATGCAAAGTGAAACACAATAATAATTGAATCCAATATGGTCTCAGAACTTATGAATATAAATAAAACACTTTTATTTATCACCATATGATTACACATTATTCATTGTATACTGTTTCAGCTATCAACATTATTCTTGAATTTAAAACAATAGTTGTCCCATGCTCCAAGCATGCACACTATGTTTTCTAAACACTAGTCATGCCATACACCAAGTATGCATATATGTTTGTCTATGATCTTTACTTTGTGAACTAGATCAATTGAACATAACTTCAATGATTCTCTTTTCACACTCCCAAATCCTTACTGCAAATGCAAGAATTCCAAATTCATGTCATTTACTGAAATCTGTTAGATTCTAAACTTATATGCATCGATCCTCTTGTAATGATTATGCACAAAGTCAGAAAGACTTAACAACAATCATTACAGAGCATTCCAAAGGAGATCAAGTCCTTGGAACCATCCTTCTTGCATTAAGTTTCCTTAATCTTACACAGATTGAAAATTCTAACTTTGAAACATTTCCAGATTCCATTTCGACTATCACTTCTGAACAAGAGTTGCCTCCTTACAGATTATGTCAATATGGTCCTTCCAGAATTATCACTATACTTCCAATTGTCCTTGAGCAACCAATCTTTGGTAAACCTTAGATTGTCCTCGACAATTGTTTAATCCTTTTAGTCATATCCAGTTCTAAACCTTTTCCCTTCTTAATGCCCTAGGCATTTGGAAAATTTTAGAAAGGATGAATATAGCACATGTAATCGATCCTATATCCGAAGCATATGGGACACGATTCATGATGTCTCACATAAAGACTAAACCAGTCTTTTGCTATAACATTTCCATTTCTATTTGCCAAGTTCTCATAATTCAGATTATGAAAAGGGATGCCGTAATCATAATCGAATTTAAGAACGCAAATAATGGACCCATATACAGAATTTCCTTATGTTGAGCCATTCCAACATGAAATTCATATATATCCTTGACTAAATGATTAAAACCTCACGATCTAAGCTTATAGATTTGAGATGAAGTATAATTTCCTCTCCCTTAATTATAGCAAAACAACTTTTTCCCAATTGAAACCTTTTGTTTTCTATAATTAACATTGCTAGCTTGCAATACTTATCGTAATTATCATGCTCCCACTAACATGATGATTATTAGCATAACACTTATGCTCCCACTAGCTTTGACATGTACTCAGAAAGCTCGACTTCTAGAAATCAATACTTTATTGACTTTCTTACCAAAGTTCAGATTTCTGATACTAGATTGTTTTGATAAGACTTTATCAAAAACATACACCTTCCCTTAGATAGCTCATGGGTGTGTCAAAACAATTTTAAGAACTATGAAAAGGGATGCCGTAATCATAGTCTTGATCGTTTTGACCTTTGCCATTTCTCACAAGTCCAAGTTAGTGTGCCGGTAAACCACACACGCTCCACTAACGACTTTGAGAATGCAAATATCACAATTGCTATCTAGCTAAAATCTACTTAGTGAAAGTGTTTCCTCACCATCATTTTCATGAATCGGAGAGAAACCTTATGACACTTAGATTTAATGGTGTATGTGTTCTTATCCATGTGAATTGTCAAAACCATAGTCACAAGACAAGGATAATGACAAATCCAAACTCATATGGACTGAACTCAATCTTAATTTCTTGCCACCTGGCAGCTCAAGGGCCTACCATTGCTTCCAAGTTGTTGTGCAACACATTGAGAACTCTAAGAACTCATATGCAAAGCCAACTTTAACTAGAATGGGCACAGAATATGTCAACACGATAGGTTATAAACCTCAAGTCGTGTGCTAGTGAAGAACTTCAGGTTTCATTCTTGATTAGTTCTTGAGACTTTCAAGACCTTTAAGACTCCCACTGTCCTCTTGACCTATAAGACTCCCTTGTCAAACATCCAAGAGATAGTGTGGATTCTAATCAAGACAAACACTTCACACAATTGGCCTTAGTTGGTCTTTGTTTTATCCAAAACATCACAACTTACCAATTTCAAATGTACAAGAGTAGAAAACTTTTACTCTTACATTTGTCAAGTGTTTTAAACCTTCTTTAAGACATGTCACTCAAATTACAATCTTGGAGTATGACTCTAAGACTTGTATTGGAACGAAGTATGACTCATCTTCTTGATTTAACCATTTCAACAATTCAAGATCCCTTCTTCTTAGTCATAAGAATGCACTAAGACTTCCTTAGAGAACTAATTTTGATATGGTTTCTTAATCATTAAGATGATCACAAAACTGATACTAAAGTACTCTCCCATCTTTTCAGATTTGAGAAACTTTTATCCTTCTGCCTAATTTGATTCTTCTTATTCGCTCTGCCTATGCATTGGAACCTTTTCCAATGTCTCAGAGTTACACT